CGAGGGGCCGGGCTGGGCTCGGCTCCCTCCGCCCCTGCAGGGAGGACAGACCCTGCCAGCAGCCAGCCGGGCTCTGCCACTTGGTTTTTATTTCAAGTCAGAGCACGTCGGCTCTGCTTTCACCAGTGCTGGGAGGGGGGGAAAAAAAGTGCAGGAGAGCAGAGGGAGAGGCAGCAGGAGCAGCCAGAGCCCGAGGGACACCGGGCACCGACTCCAGGGCAGCTTCGTGCTCCTTATTTTCTGAGCTGGGAGGTTCCCCCCACCTCCCTGTTCCCCCACCCTGTGCAAGGCCCTTGGTGTGTGAGGAAGGGGCTTTGCTCTCCTGCAGGAGCCCATCTGCAAGGGGCACCCCCTCGAAAAAAACAGGGGAGACAAACTGTGCCCCCCCCCCAACTCATTCCCAAGGGGAGGCTCATCTCCATCCATCCCAGCTCCAGGAAACCTGTGCCAGGCACCCCCAGGTGTGGAGATGGGATCTGTGCCCTGTGTGAGCTGAGACCACCCCCCCAAGGAGCTGCACAGTGTGGATATGACCAGGGAAATGCAGCCTCCCCTTCCTGTGGGGGAGCACTGGGGACTCAAGGGAGCTGCTGGGCAGCAGCCAGTCCCTGCCCCTCCGAGGAAAACCTTCCTCCTGGTGCTGGATGTGAGCCAGTGAATCCCACCCTGCCCCGGGCAGGGGATGTGCCAAGAACATGGAGCCTCCCTGGCACCACAACCTACCTGAGCCCTGTCCCTGCTCCAGCCAGAGAGCAAAGGCCACGGAACGACACCCACAGGTTTCACTAAACCACTAGATCCCTTCTCCAAAGAGAAGAGCGACGTGAACGTGCTGCCTGGGACACCAGGACAGTCAAGAGTCACAGGGAGAGAGGACGTGAGGCCTGGATACCGCAGAGCCCGGGGCAAGGCTGTGTTCCCAGTGCAGCCTGGACATCCCCGCGCCTTGGGAGCTGTCCCTCTTCCAGCGAGGGCTGCAGGGCCTGGAGGGGGCAGGCGAGGTCTCTGGAGCCCTTCACTGCAGCTCCCGGCGTCGGCCCGAGGGCTCTGCGGGCTCCTCCAGACTGTCCGAGGGGGCGTCGTCCATCCCAAAGTCGCTCCAGTCCGGGCAGGTCTCCAGGCAGCTCGGACCCTGGGGGCTTCCCAGGCCGGCACAGCTGGGAAGAGAAAACAGCTCAGAGCAGGGAAGGGATCCAGGGAAGGTGCCTCCACGTGTCTCCACCTCAACCGCTGCCTCCTGGGAAGCTGCTCCC